TTTGCCGCCCCCGATTGAAGTGGAACGTTGGGAAGGGCCAGCTCCAGGGGAGGGGGGGGGGCATCGCGCTGGTATCGGCGATACCTCGCCGACGGAGCCGCGAGGTGCGCCCGACGGCGGAGCCACCGCACGCTCCCGGGGGGAGTGGGCAACAAGGCCCCGTGTCGGCGACGCCGGGGCTGAGCCTGCCCCCCCCCCTGACTACCTACCAAACCACCCCAACCCAGCCGAAGACCCGAACTTCGGGTTGAGGGGGGCACGGGGTCCATGTGTGATTTTTCAATGTTCCCCGCCCCCCCACTTCCAAAGTGCCTTCGGCGCGAGCAACCGTGCGCCGAGCAGTCTGTGTTCGGCGCAGCTTTTGCGAGGCGCCAGCGTTGAACGGGCAGTTCTTGCGGCGGCGACCGCGTGGCCAGGGTGTCCCGCTGCAGGGGTCGTTCGGCCGTCCGCGCAAGGGCGCCCAACTCCGCAAAAGAAAATGCCACGGCACGCAAACACCGATATTTCTGTCGACTGGAAATGGACGGCAAAGTGAAGCCTTCGGGTTGGGTTGGGGTGGTGCGGGGGGCGGTGACCCCCCCCGTCGCTGCCCCCGACCTGCGGCAACGTGCACAGAGCCGGCGGGCCCAGCAGAAGCTCCAGAGGCAGAGGGATGCCTTGCTCCGCGGGCACCGAGGCCCAGCGCGTGCGCGGGGGAGGACGGCGGGGAAGATCAGGAGAGGAAGGAGGAGGACGAGGCGGAGGAGGAACGTTTGGGGGAGGATGGCGGGGGAGATCAGAACGAAGAGGACGAGGGGAAGGATTTCCAGGATTTCCGCCATCACGTAGTGATATATTTACAAGGCAACTACGCTGAGGCCACCCCCTGAGCAAACCCGCGAACGAGACGACCCAGTACAGGAACCTCAGCGGAAGGTACATGAAGAACCCGACAACGAAGTCTATGGAGCGCGAATCGTTGTCACATAGCGAATCCCTCCAAATTCGAATGGCACCTCAACGAACGAGGCATGCCAAGCTAAACTGAAAAGAACTTGGCTCGATTCGGCCCTCTCCGCAGGTCAACGGGCTACCTCTCACGTATATCATAAAGATCGCCTCCTCCGCAGACAGCCTCGCAAGACAGCAACGCAGCCAAAATTACCACCCAAACTGTTCATTCCTTCCAGCCGAGCCTTCTGCACCAACTTGAAACACTGCACGAAGACAGTCAACCATAACCACCAAAAGCACATGAAATACCCTCCCCTGGCGGAGATGGGAGATCCCAGCGTTATAGCTGATGATGTCTGGCTCACGCTTGATGCACGAGAAATGGAGGCCCCGACACCAGAAACCGAAAGGCATACCCTCCCCTGGCGGAGCTGGGAGATGCCCAAACGATAGCTGACGAAATGAGCCCATACTGAAACATTCCAAAGCCACGCCACATGCAGCCCGAACTGGAGGAGCGACACCACGCGAAACCCGTAGCGATACCCACCAGCTTGTTAGGCCTGCGCCACAGCCCCGGAATAATAAGACTTGAAATCGCGAGTTCGCTCCCCTTCGTTACCAGGAGAGGCTGGACGATACCGATGTGAGCAAACGACTCCCAACACGGTCCAGAGTCCCTGATGTCCCCCAAGCGCCGACGAGAAGGCGGGAAGCTGGGCTAGCGCGAGCGAGTAGGAGCCAAAAGATGGTACCACGCGCCCCGCCCACCTGTGCTTGAGGAGGACGAGGAGGAGGAGGAGGAGGAGGAGGAGGAGGAGGAGGAGGAGGGGGCCTCTTGGGAGCCTCTGGGGGCACTCCCGAAGAGGGCCCGCGAGAATGTCCGTCGGCGGTGGTGCGCACGCCAGCTCGCCCCGACGTCTGGGGTCGATGCCTCTCCGCGAGATCGGAGGACAGACCATGAGCTGGCCAGGTCGAGCGAGTCAGCGGGGCCCGCCCGTTCCCACCCTCCCTCCCTCTCATGATCATTAGACAAGTGCTGGACTTCAACGCTGTTTTTCGTTTTGGCTTCGTTTTGCTCCACCTGTTTTCCATTACCCCCTGCCAAAACGAAACACAAGGCACGGATTAAGTCCAGCAAAGCAGCGCTTAGGTCCCCTCGCTCCCATACCATCAGAATGCGTCGTGGCACGGCTTGATGCGAGGAGGAGGGGGAGGAGGAGAAGGAGGAGGGGGAGGAGGACAAGGAGGAGGAGGAGGAGGAGGAGGATCTGAGTAAACCCAGCATGCGTCAAAGATGCTGCGATCCTTCTGAAACTGGAAAGCGCTCCCACCTAGCGAGCACGCGGAGCTCGCGCCCGGCCGCTTCCGACGACCCGGCGAGGGGGACAAACAAAAAGCTCGGGCCGTGCGCGGGCGCGGACGGGGCTTCAGAGAACTCCCTGCGCGGCGCTGCGGCCAGAGCGGCGTTTAGCCTTCTCCGGGCGGCCACGCAGTAGGAGCCCGAACACAAGAAACCTTTCACAAGAAACCCAACCCTGAGATCCCAGGACGTCCATTGATTTTTGGTGTGGGTCACGCGCCCCATTGCAAAACCATCGAAACCCAAGAAACCCAGGACACCCTGGAGGCGAGCAGGGTGTTTCTTGGCATGGGCCCACACTGTAGCGCGTGAAAGACAAAGACTGCGCTGCGCCGACGTAGCGCAGCCACTTCACACACAAACGCACGCACGCACGCACGCACGCACGCACGCACGCACGCACGCACGCACGCACACACACACACACACACACACACACACACACACACACACGCACAGACACACAAAGACACACACACACACACAAACTGCGCTGCCCTTGGGTGAGGACGCTGCTTCGACAGCTTCTCGGAAGAGCCCCGCTGGGAGTCGGAGAGCCACGCGTGCCCGGCGTCCATGTGGGGAGGCCACTTCCGAGCGACACCTCCACACGGAGCGGACGCGAGGGCGACAGGCCTCCCAGTCGCGCGCAGCTCCGACCCCGCTCCGACCCCTACCCCAACGACGCGGCGAGCGCAGACTGCAGTCGGGGCGTTGACCTAGGGAACGATAAATAAGGAACGAGGCCCCTTTCTCCCATACGTTCAACTCAGATGCTCCATGGAAAACCTCAGGAAGACCCAAGGAGCACTGTAAAACAACTAAGGAGCACCGAGCCCCTCCCCAACGAAAAGGGCTCCTTCTTCAGGGCCCCGACGATATGCGCCGCGCCGAGGCGGTAACACCGCTTTCACGCGAAATCTGCGCGTCGCTGAAGCGAGAGCGCTGTTTTCGCCCGCTCGCGCGTCCGAGAAGCTGCGAACGAGAAGTGCGCGCCGCACCAGAGTAGGAGCCCACTGTCAGCAACAAGGAAAGGAAGGTGCCGAATCGAGAAGAACATGTGCCCCCCGTCCTGAAGTTTGCTCATGCCGTTTTTTCGTAGACAGACGACGGCATGGCTGCGGGCCAAATGCTTCACTTTGGGTCTGGCACGCCACTCCCCCCCCTCACGTGACAGAAAAGCTTTTCAGCGAGCCGTTGGTCATGCTGCGAGGGGGTGCAAGTATGGCAAGCGAGCAAGATGACACAAGATCGGATAGGAAAATCGAATGGGCGATCGAAACAGATCGAGTCGGCAGAAATCGGCATGCAAATCGGAAGGCAATCGGATCGACGCCGAGCGGCCCGAGCCGGGGCGGCCGGCACAAAGAAACCCAAAGCGAAGTCGGAAGTCGGCGTCGAGTCGAATCGAAACAGCACAAAATGACATCGAATTCGAATCGGGTCGAATACACATAAGAATACCACATCGACAACGAATACCAACAACAAAAACATCGAGTCGGATTCGGATCGGCAGAGGCGACATGGCTCCTGTGCGAGTGAGCGCGTCTGTTGCCCATTCTTCGCCCGCGGGGGCCAGATACGGGGGCGGGTCCAGCTTGGCCGCGTGCAGCGACCGGATGCCCCGGTAGAAGCCCAGGAAGAAGTCGATGCTGGGGGGCTGCCCCCCCTTGGCCGGGCTGAAGTATTTTGTCCTCGGCGGCGCGCGGAAGCCCGAGGACGGGGCTTCTACGGATCCACCGCCCGAGAACCCCGAGGGGCACTGGGGGCCCCAAGAGACAGTTGGCAGTGATATTGCCAAGCCCCTGGGGGGAGCCCAAGGGTATCCATATCAGCTGCCTCCCGCGCTCCTTGGAAATCGGTCCCCAAGGCGGTGGGTACACACATGCAACTACATATCGGAGTATCGATCTAAACATATATATATGTACACGTTTGTAACTATGTATGTATATGATCATACTCGCCTGTGCGAAGGAGTAGAGTTCAGATGCGATCAGCTTAGGCCGTGGCGTTGTTGCTGGCCGCTTTGCCCAGGACATCCTCAACATTCAGAACATCGGACGCACCCCTCACGCAGATCGCGTCTTTACGATCCAAAAACACAACGGTCTTTCACCGCTTAAGAATAACACCCTCAACTAAAGCACTGCTGGTTTCAACGAAGTTGGCCGTCGCCTTTTGGACAACCGCCGTTTCGCGCGAGACAAACCCCAACCAGAAACCCGACGCAGTCAAAATTGTCCTACAAGACATCAGTTGGCTTCAGAGCTTCTTTTCCAGCTGCAATCGCAAGGAATGAATACCCCTCCTCCGCCACACACATCTACGAGTGTGGCAACCCAACCTGCGTTCGACTGTGATCCCGCTATTGCTCCTCCTTTCCGTCAGCCCCCTGGTGATCCTCATGATGATCCTTATTGTTTTGTTTGTCCTCTGCCTCTCTCTCTGACCCCCCTATATATACATGTATCCTCATATATATATATATATATATATATACATACATACATATATATATATGTATACAAGGTCGCAGTGGCGCTTCGCGCCATGCACCTTGGTCCTTGAAGTTTGGTACGCAGGCGGAATAGCAGGAAGGTCAAGCCGACAAATTAGCGATAACTCCTGGTTGCCCGGCATCGCCGCTATGATAATGTGTTTCGTTATCCTTCCTCCATGCTTCTGTTTGCTTATTTTCGCCATACCCTGCGCATTCTCTCCATCCTCCTTAGCTCGTTTTGCGGAGGCTCCTCCTTGGAGAGGCTCTAGGGGCCTCACAAAAGTTGTTTCAGGCTTTTTTAAGGCCTTCTGGAGACCTCCTGGGCGTATTCTGGGGGCCTCCGGGGGCTTCCTCGGGCCACCCTGCCTTCAACCGCGGTCTCACTGAACGACCGAATCACGATTTGGAATTTTTCGGAGGGTGTCTTTGGGTCATCTTGGGCCGCCATAGGGCTCTCTGAGGGCCATCTTGGACCCGTGTTGTGCCGTTTTGGGGCTCACTTTTAGGGGGCAAACAAACCTACCTCGCTTTTGACCACCCTCGCTTCCAAGAGATACCAAGCGATGCCAAACTACGGCCTGTACTGGTCAGGCCGCTTGACGAGGAGGCGCGTGGTATGACTTGGTTTTGCCTGGAAGCGAAAGCGGGGTAGGTAATTCACGCTCTGAACTTTGACTGCCTGGAAGCCCTTTCGGATGGTTGTGGGGCGATTTGGGAGCCTCCCAGGCGGCTTCGGACGCCCAGAAGACCGCCGTCTTGGAGCGTCGGGAAGCCGAAAGAAGGAGAACCCCAAAATTCACCAAAAACCAACAGAAAATCAAAGATGTTTGCCTGGGGGGGACTTCTTGGGAGTGCTCTTGGAGGCCCTTTTTGGGGCCGTCCTGGAGGCCTCTTGGGCCATCTTGAGGTCACGTCGGTCACTCTTGGAGCGCTCTCGTGCTGTCTTGGGGGTCTCTGGGACATCTCCAATGACCCCTCTGATCGCCCCAGGTGTGCTGGGAAGGCTTGGCAAGACGCCCTGCGAGGCACGGTGGCCGCTTCGACGCCCGTCCAGAGGGTCCCAAAGCCCCAGATCCTGGGAGTCCGGTTTGGGGGGGGTAGGGGGGACGGGTTTTTCCCCCGCCTTGGCTTATAAAAATATAGGAAGAGGAATATGTATTTGCTTCCTCCTCCTCTTCCTTTTCGGATCAGACTTCATACTCCTATTATCATCAATGTTCTGCAACGCGTGCGTGTTGCATTTCATGTGCCATGAGCGTGAAAACGAACGTGCTTAATGGGCCCTGGAAACGACAGGGCCGTTTTTTTACCGGTTCCGTTTTGCCGTTTTGCTGCCGGTTCCGACGCCGTTTTTTTACCGGTTCCGTCGCCGTTTTTTGACCGGTTCCGGCGCCAGTTCCGACCCTGGAGCCGTTTTTTTGCCGTTTCCGGTCGCCGTTTTTTTGCCGGGTCCATTTTCAATGGACATTTTTTTTGAAACGGTGAAAAAACGGCCCTGCCGTTTCTGGGGTCCACAAAGCGCACGTGCCACTTCCGTACATCTATACTCTAGATTTACGACAACGTTATGCACCCTGTATTTCCCACAATGCCCGCGCCGATGGGTTCATACTTGGGCCACCGAAGGCATTGGATGGGCGTCCTTAGGTTTCGCCACGTTGCCGCCTGTTGACATCCATGGGCGTCTGGTGGGCGTTTCGTGTGCTGGATAGGTGCCCCTTCTGCGCTTCCTCCGACTCCTCAGATATGCCAGGGATGCGTTCGCACATTCGTTGTCGTTTCCCAGAAGTGACGACCTTGCCCCCCCTCCGCCATTCATTCTCTGTCATCCTCCCTCTCCGCCCACGTGCCTCCAACTTACTCACAGCGCTCTCGATCCAGACACCCCCACAGACCGTGATCGCGCCTGAGCGCCAGCTACCTCTTCCGTCGGGCCGGTGGCCCCCGGACCCCTCCCGGAGCACCATTCGACAAGAGGAATGGATGGAATGGTTCGTTCAGGTCTGGCCCCCCCTCCCCCTCCCCCCCCCCCTCCCTCTCGGAGCCCACAATTCTGGGGATATGCCAAGCAAAACGGGCCAGACAACCTCGCGCGGAGCATCTTGGAGCCGCGAACTGCGAGGTCTCAGGCGATACGGGCCAGACCACCTTGCGCAGATGTTCTCAAAGCCAAGAATTGCGAGGATGTACCAAGCGACACGGACTGGACCACCTCTCGCGAAGCATCTCGAAGCCCAGAGTTGCGTTGCGACGAAAAGCGCCAGACCACCTCGCGCGCGGCATCTCGCAGCCCCGAGCTGCCAAATTCGTCTCAAGCGAAACGCGCTAGACCACCTCTTGCGCGGCATCTCGGAGATCAGAATTGCGAGGATGTCTCAGGCGAAACAGGGCGGACCACCTCGCGCGCGGCATCTCGGAGCCCAAAGCTGGGAGGATGTTTCAAGCAATATGGGGCGGGATGTCTCAGGCGAAACGGACCAGACCACCTCGCGCTCGGCATCTGGAAACCCAAAATTGGGAGGAAGTCTCAAGCGAAACGGGCTCGTTCACCTCGCGAGCGGCATCTCGGAGCTCAGAGTTGCGAGGATGTCTCAGGCCAGACGGGCCAGAACACTTATCGCACGGCATCTCGGAGCTCCGAGTTGCGAGGATACCTCAGGCGAAACGGGCTGGGCAACCTCGCGCGCGGCACCTCGGA